AAAAAAAAAAGAAAGAAAGAAAGAAAAAGACAGAAAGGAAAAGAAAGAAAAAGCAGCCAGGGATTTAGCTCAGTGGTTCTGCTGCCTGCCTTCCCTCCTTGCAAGCACAAGGTCTCAAGTTCAACCCCCACTAAAAAAAAAAAGAAAAAAAAAAAAAGAAAAGAAAGAATAGTGAGGGTTTTTAGGTAAGTTTAAGGACAGGCACAGAAAACCTATTCAATGAAATGATAACAGAACTTTACAAAAAAGACCAAAAAAAAAAAGCCTATAAATTATCAATACAGTGAAACTTCAAAGACAAATAAGAGAAGAAAAAACAAAGAATACCCAAAATAACCAGAAGAAAATTAACAAAATAGGAGGCATAGCTTCATATCTTTTAATAATAATGCTGAACTAAGACTTGCTAAATAGATTTTCAAAAAGAATGCTGCCTATAAGCAGCTACCTTCACAAGTACACACACGTACACACACACACAAAGTGAAAGGATAGGAAATAATATTCCAAGCAAATAGAACATTATACTTTTATCTGACAAGATAGACTGCAAGACAAAGATTTCAGTAAAGAACAAGACCAAGAAGGTACAGAGATTGTAAATTTATAGGGACCTAATGTTAGAGTACCCAGATTAATAAAGCAAATACTATTACATATAAAGCAAGAGATAGAATCTGATCAAGTAATTATGGAGGATGTTAACACCACTTCTAATCAGACTTAAATTTTACTGTAGACAAGATGGACTTAACAGACCTAGAATGTTCTCTCAGATAGCTGCAGAATACATATATGGAATATTCTTGAGAACAAGCCATGTCTTAGGCCACAAAACAGTCTCGACACTTTGTTCAAAAAATTGAAATCATATCCTTATATCTTCTCCACAAAATGAAATCAAACCAGAAGTCAGTAACAAGAGAAACTTTAGAAATTATACAAATATGTAGAGATTGAACAATAAACTTTTAAATCAGTGGTGGGTCCTTGAGAAAGTCAGAAGTGAAAATAAAACATTTTTTGAAAAAAATAAGGATGGAAATACACTAAAACCTGTGAGATGGAGCAAAAACAGCCTGGGGGAAGTATACAGCAGTAAGGGCCTACATAAAAGCAAAAGGAAAACTTCACATAAACACCCTAACAATGCATTTCAAGGGCTTAACAAAGCAAG